ATCATTTATCGCTTATTTCTCTTACTTGTATGCTTCAATTCAGTCACTGATAAGCAAGCAATATTGTCTTTGTCAACTATGATAGATTGAACTCATTATTTGATTATAACGACTTTTCTTACCAGCGAGCGTTTTTCATTAATGAGTGTGCTACCGAAGTTTGCTCAGAATATCGTTTCGATAAATTCTTTCATTCGAACTTTCTTAAGATCCCCTCAATACGCATGACTACGAAAATGAAGTTTATAATTATTTATATATCTAGCAAGGTGTTTTATTTCAATGTTTAAACAGTTTAATTCTCATTCAGGAGATGCACGACCAGCGTGGAATCAGGATCAAGACCTGCAGTGACCTTCAGCCATAGTGTGACAGCCATCTTTGGGATAAATTAGGCATGATGCATTTTCCCCATTTGGAAGATGAATTTTGCTTGATGTTGGCGCCTAGACCATTGTTGGTAGCAATACAGATATTGTTACAACGGTTCATTTAACAATGAGCTACGGTGGCAAGCCTATGAGGATGATTTCATGACGAGAGACATAGGTTCAAAAGTGCAAACGCTCATTGAGCTCTATTACGCAAAGAAATCATTCTTGTTGAATTGATCGAATAAGTTTCCCCTATTTTCCCCTTCGCTGTGACTATCACCAGCATTACTTCTCTCTTTGGTGTGATTCTCCGCACATATTGGTTGCATCACATTGCAAGCAGTGTTTCTTTGGTATGTGGCGTTCCGCAGTAACAGAGATTTTCATTTGCCCTGCCAAGACACACTATTTGTTCGCTTATCTGACGTTTAATTTCCTTGCAAGTTCAAAAGTGCAACTCTCCCAACATGAGCAGTTTATGTCTAAAATAAACCCGGGCCATCATTAAGATTAAATATACGTTCATTGTGCAGGAAGCTGTGCGACTCTATGGAGTTGCGTACCGTTTTGACCACCTACCTACCTACCTAGCGATAAAACAGTTTAAAATATATAACCCCGATGACCTGGTGCCCCTCCCACGTACAGCAGCGTTCATATTCCGCCGGGATATATTACGTTTTGATTTCTGATATAGTATAACGTAGCCTCCAGTCCATCACAATGTTGCCGTTATAGAACGTTCTACTTGCTCAGCGGTCCCCGGGTTTCCAAAGATCGTGAAGGCTGTGGAGAACTGAGGCAGACTGTAAAAGCTCGCGATGAGAACCAGCTTCTCTGTTTTTTACAGTTGGAATCGCAGCAGCACAGCGACGACTGCCGAAAATCGACCAGAAAACGAAGATACCACCCAGAAACGCACAGGCAATCTATTCGAACGGATAAGACACACTGAGCAATGCTATTATATCACGTCAGAAAACGTTCCACCGGAACGAT